TTAACACACTGATATCTTTGCGAAAAGTAATCAGCAAGCCATTCATGAAGAGAAGCGGGACAACCAAATGAGTGGATGGAGCTTGTTAAGTAAAATAGAATGGGCACCGAGTCAAAAGCCGAAAAATAGCCAAGAAACGAAATATGCACATATTTGGCTTTCTCGTTATGGGACTTACACATGAAATGAACTAGAGAACAAACGTCATCTAATGTAGAGCGGTTATGTTCGTAGGCAAACTGATGTGGCATTGAGGGTGGTAAGAGACAACGGAAAACCATGCAGAACTGATCGCTCTATAAATTTAAAACCACTGGAAGTTAGTTTCCCTAATTGTGAGTGGTTTCAGGCTTTCGTGTGGTTCATTTCGGACTCTCTGGTGCGCGCGCGCGCGTTAACCGACCTCCGTCTCGTGATCACCGGACTCATGATATTTGTTCAATCATCCACATTCAGGTTTCAGACAGTCCCAATTGATGGAAAACCCTCATATCCGCAGCTGACACTGATCCACATGCAACAACCGTAGCCATTTACGATGCATCCTATGGTCTCAATAAAAGATAACAATTTGTCCTGCGGTGATCTGGTACCCAAATCCTTGACATTTTCACATAACTTAAAGTGACTATTGTTGTTTTTGACTGCTAATTTGTTCATGGTTTTGGTGAGAATAGGCGGTTGGATTTATCGCAATGGCGTGAACACTTTCCACAAACTTCACTACCGCCTACCTTTTCACTCTCTTGCGAGTTGATGTAAACTGGTCTATATGCGAGTTGGCTCAGATGACGTAATTTGTTTTCAATTGTTAGCCTTTATCAATTGAAAACGAGTTACTTTTGTATGATTGACATTGTTACAAACACACGGGGGATTGGTTCAATTCAGTTCAGTTCTTACAATCATTAACCACGCACTTTCGTGTACCGGTTTTGGTCGCTGTCTTTACGTTACCCGTTTGGATGCAACAGCAGGATAATGATAAGTGTTGAAAGGAAATTCAAGAGAAAGATAACGAATTTATATCGACTGAAGTTACAAGAATAATGAGTGGATGCATGAGCGTCACCGTTTGCGACACCCAGCCATATCGCTCAGTGTCTTTGACTATCACTGACTATGATCTCCGGGTTCTCAGCCAGGAAGCCTAACGGGGCCTATGTGACCTAGTCTCCTCGGTAGGGTTTTCATACCCTCCTGCCAGGTCTTCGTTTGACCACCCTTGATCTTTTTCCAATCACTACCTTCCTCGGCAAACATCGCTCGTCGTGGCAATCTATCTGGTGACATGCGTAACACATTTCCCAGCCAACCTAATCGATGAAAGTCGACTACTTACTCCAGTGGACGAAGGCAATTACCTAAAACTCAACGCGACTAACCTCAGCATTGCTCGTCCGGTTACCCAACCAGACTCGTGCAATACTGTGTCAATACTGGTCAACACGCTTGCAACAAGATTGCTCTGAAAGAACTTTGCAATATATATATATATATATATATATATATATCGGTCTACCCTGTGGAGACCTGTAAGGTAGAATAGCTCTTAAATTCAACAGTAATACCTTACCTCAAACAATTTTTCTGACTTGTGCCTTTTTCTGTAAAATTTCTGGGGAACAAATTGTTGACGTAATCAATACCGGTGATAGTCAAGGTAGATGTGCAGTGTCTGTCTACGTCGGTCTCGTGTCTTTCTGTCATCGAATCCAGTAATTGAACACGTTTCTCGTTCTCACCCGGGCTCGGTGCACGAGAGAGAGAGGGAAGGAGAGAGGGAGACAGAGCATATAACTCAATCATCAGTTACATGCAAATAAGAAATCGTTTAGACCGTAAACTAGGATATTTATTTATTTGAACTACTTCTGTCGCCCCAAAAGAAAGTTGTTGTCCACATAGCCAGTATGAGTAGTACGCACTGAATACGAAATACGAATCACGGATTAGCAGTCACGGACTGGATCCGGTAAACACTGGACCACACTGGCATTTGCACGCAATATCCCACGTAATCGAGACGCGAGGAAAAGGCCGCAAGCTCATTGGTCATCCGGGACTCTGCCAATCATGTTTTATTCTTTGTACTGTTGTTCAGCTTCTGTCTGGGCCGCACGGTTTCTGATTGGCTGGCACAGTCGATTTATGGTATGTAGTCCAGATGCTGTGACACGCACGCGCTTCACTGAGGTCACCCGTGAAGCTGAATTGATCACAGCTTTCCTAAACCTGTAACGTATCATTCCACGGTATGCGTCATCTCGCAGACTGGGATCACCACAACCCTCCTCTCTCAAAAGAGATGCTTTCGAATCGAACTCTTCGTGGTATTGAGTTTCGTAGGGCAAGTGTAGTAATCTCTTCGTTAGGCATTTCAGGAGTAACGGATTTCTGCTTTCTGATTTCACTACTTGAAGACGCTAGATTAATTAATTCATCGTTTGAACTGGCAGATTCCTGTGAACGTATTTGGTGGATTTCTTGTTGCTGATCTGCTGAAAAGTTCGCCGAAATAACACGTTGCACTAATGTCCGCGAGCTTCGGGATTTTGGCGGTTTCACCGATCTTATTTAGGTATTAGGGCGCACAGC